CACATTAGCAGAGTTAGCAGGAAGAAGTTGCAGCCTTCAGGATCACGCCAGGCCCTGAAGGTTGCAGATGGTGAGTCTGCAGCTGGTTGCCACATATTCATGAGACAGATAAACCTGATGCGCAGGCATCCATCTGCAAGAATGTTTTACAGCACAGAAAAACACACCTATGAGTGAGCTCCCCACTTTCTTTGATCTTTCCTGTATCTAGGGATTACAGAGCTCCTTGAAGCTGGCACGATTGCTGCACGTAACTCCAAAACAGGAAGGAGAGGGGACCAGAGGGGTGTTATGCCAAGGGACTTCTCAGCTCTCCCAAATAGTGGCCAGGTGACTTTGGCTCTGTCCATGGCTCTGTCATTTGCAGACCAGAGCAAACAAGCTTTGACAGTGTGATCTGTGGTTGCATATACCTGTACATCCACCTCACAAAAGGCAGCACAGACCTAGCCCGTGTGTTGTGTCTGTGCCAGTGAATGCCAAAGATCCGTCACCGAGGTCAACACGTCATTCCCTCCTGGATAGGGTCAGTAGTCTAATAGTACATGGCTATTGGTTTGAGGAAAGTAAAAACCAGGGCTGGAACACAAGCTTTGAGGCTACTGGGGGAGGTTGCAGGGAGCGCTTTCTACTAACCCAAGGCATTTATGCTTATAGCTGAGGTCTGGCAACAGACTTCATGTCATTTCCTTTAGAAATTCCCAAAGAAGCTGTCTTGAGCACTGCGATCAGAGTGTCTGCTGAACACATGAGAAAACTCATGAAAAAAATAAATCTCTGAATGAGATACAATATAAAAATATTGATAAATGGCTTTACTATTCTGATTGGCAAACCTTGCTGTTGGTGACCTTAACAGAATGTTCAAGTCTTGCAGCATAAAGCACAAATTCATCATGATTTTCATGCTCGTGGATTTTGTTATCACTTAATTCCACTTCTAAGAGGAGAAGCTGAGACACAGACTGGCTAAGTATCTTGCCCACAGTCACAAATACTGGTCAGGAACAGCGTCCAGGTTTCATGGATCTTGGTTTCGCTTCCTATCAAACTGTCTGTGTTGTGGTCCCTTTAACAGCTCTCGAGTGTTTTAGAAGTCAGGCTGCCTGCAGATTAGCATGCTGCTCAAATCCTCCTCATTTCTCACGGTTTTGTCAGCATTTGGGATAATGCTGCTTAAGGGCACCTCTAACATTCGTTTACTGGACAGGTTTTAATTTGTAATTATTTATACTCCTCTTGGTACATGAGGTCTAGAAAAGATTTATTTTTGGATGACGAACCTTTATTAATCATTAAAAAAATTACATTTTCAAATGCCTTCTCTCTAGAAACCGAGAGCCTTAGCAAATTCAGGTGCTTGGTAATGGATGCCCTCTTCTGTTGAAATCCAGTACTGTTAGTGAAAATGCCCAGATACATGACTGCACGGGTGTAGAATTCTTCCTAAAAGCATATTTTTAAAATATCATCTTGGCCTTTCTTTCTAAGTTAAAATGATAATTCTTAAAAGGAAATGGTTGCAGACCATGGGCAGTCCTCACGGAGGTGCCTCAACACATCAGTGCAGAACTGCAGTTTTTCTTTGAGTAAGATATTGTCTGAGGTGTTCCCCTTGTTTTCAGCTGTTGACTCAGAGGCACGCAGTGTTCTGGCATCAAAACCAATTTTACTAACAGCGTGGTTCTATTATAAACCCCATCATTTCCTTCAGAGGAGTGACATGGATGACACTGGGACCTCTGATTTGTTCTGTTTTCACTGATCATATGCAACTCCTTCACCTCCTCAAGTACATTTTCTTCTTTACCTGACTGAGACCGCTTTATCTGAGGAAAGAACTATTGCTTAATTCAGTGTAATGACCAATTTTGATGGCACTGGATCAAACTGGATCAAAAGGATAGGGACTCTGACCTGCACCAATTGGTGTATGTAGGGTGGCCCCCTAGGTAGATGGAACGCACTGCCTGCTGCTGTGTACCTGGGGCTCCTGAGCAAGCCCAGTACCATACGCAGTCCGAGTAAGCCCAGTTCAGGATGAAATAAGCCTCAGATCTCCCCAGTGCCCAACCTCCTATATCAACCTTATGTGGCAAGCAAGCACTGAAACAAAATAGCCCTCAGCAGCAGCCTCACTGTCCTTAGCTGTGTCCTTGCTCCTGCCTTGCTCCCATTCCTTGTCTCCCATTCCTTTTCCCCCATGACTCTCTGTGCTCATTGCCTGGGTACCAAGGCTGTTTCTAATATCCTTTCCTTTTTTTTTTTTTTTTTTTTTGGCTAGGAGAGAGCCCAAACTCCTCCCCTATGTCCCAAGGAAAGCACCAAGCACCAGCTCCTCCCCTTTTGCCTAGTCTTGCCCTTCATTTCTCTTGAACCCTCTTCACCAGTGGACAAAATCCCACTCCCTGCTCTGCTGCCGTAACAGTCACCTCTCTGCTCCTGGGCCCCCCACTCCGCTCTGTCGTTGCTGAGAGAAACATAAAATGGACAGGGAATCGCTACAGAAAAGAAGGGAACACATTGAGTCAGGAACAGTGGGAAGATAAATGCCAGAAATGTTATTTCTCTTCAATTCCATTAGCTACTGGGTGTTCATAGCTGAGGAGGTGATTGCTGAAGTCCGGGCGGTTTTCATGTTAAATAAGAGCAAAAGAATGTGTTCTGATCAAGAGCAGTTTGCTTCATCTAACTGTGCATTCCCTCCCTGGGAGAAGAGGGAATCTGAGCCTTTCCCCAGCAGCATTTCTGCCACCCTCCCCTTTGCTGCCCTTGAAACTGCCCCTTAGCTCAGGCTTGTAGCCCACTTGGAGAGGCAGGTTCAAGTGCAGCTTGACCAGATGGCTCTTGTGCTCAGTGTCCAATTGATACCTGTTTAACTTTACTAAGGAAGGACTCAGACATACAAAGATTAAGCTCCATTGCAGCATGAGTCTTGGAAGCACTTCTGTGAAGGTCCCAGCATTGGTTGGGATCTTCTTCCTGACACCCTCTTTCAGGGCAAACATGGCTGGGCTCCTGCCATGTAACTGTCCGCACCATTTCATTCCTTTCCCCCAAACTATTTCTGAGATGCCTGGATGCAGGGGTTGCACCTCCCTTTGGCAGTATTAACCCCCTAATTATCAACAAAAATGTCCAGTGAAGCAGTCCTGCAGCTCTGCAGAAGCCACTTTCTCTTGTGCAGGGGGCCTTTCCTGACGGGGGCTGAACAGCATCCCACCTTTTCCCTCGGGGCAGCGGATGGTTCCCACCGTTCCAGACCAACTGTCATCCAAAGCTTGGTGTCAGAGATGGTATTTAGACAGTAAAACTAATTAACAGTGCAGAGGAAGAGGCAGATCCAGGTCGCTCCTAGAAAGCAGTCCAACAAGCATGCAGCGATAGGGTAGTGCAGCACATCGCCAGGCCAATATCCCCCTTAAATCCTCCTGTCCCTCTGCTGCATTTGCACGTGGTATTTTCACCGCCGCTGCTGTGGCCTAATGGTGTCAGTGATCCCTTGCAGGAGCCGGCCCTTCCTACAAGAAATGCAGAGTGTCACCTCCAAGAGCAGCACAGACAGGGCACAGGATGGCCCAGGTGCAGGCAGAGCTGGTGGTTCTGCTTGGCGCAGAGGGCACCGCTGAGCCCGGCCCCCGACGACCTCTCTTCTGAAAGAGGGAAAGGGAAGCAAAGGGCATTTGTCGTGAAGTCCGGAAGGCCCTCGCAACGCTCTGCAAGGCCAGACTGCCTCTACCCACACACAGAAATCTCTAGGCCAGCTTTTCTGTGGAAAGGCAAAGCAGAATTTGACTCGGTGCATTTATTTCTTTCAGTAAGGCTCTTGCATGGATTGTGAACATTGCTTACAATGTGTTATGATTGCTACTGCAAAAAATTACAGGTTGCTTTTACTAAGGAAAGAATAGGGCTATAAAGTAGCATATACTAGGCACAGCACTAGGCACAAGGAAGGTATCCCAAAAATAAATGCTTTTATGTTGTCATTTGCATTCCAGCATTTTTAACATCTCACCTTTTCACATAACTCAGTCATGTTGTTCAGTGACACTTTTAATTATTGCAGTGTTTACATTCCCATTCTGAATGAGGACTATTCTCCTACTAGACACATCCTTCCTATTTGCAGATGCTCACTGCAATGATACAACACCACAGCAGTGAAGATTGATGTTAACCATATTTTCCATGTTTCACAGAATAGCCAGTGGTTGGGTATAGAGGCAGACATACGAGTGCTTCCCTTCCAGGCAGAATTTTCCCAGTGGAAGATTTTGTCAAATCCTGGTTGCTACTTTGTTTGTAAACTGCTGTCAGCTTGGGAGGTAGAGACAAAGACACCTGTGAAATAATTAGGAAGTAATTGCTATGTGCTTGAATTATGTAAACTTTAGAAGATTCTAGGTATTTATTTTTTGACATTAAGTCAAAGGTTAATTTAACATTAGTATTTTATACTTTGAATACTTTAGAAGATTGGCCCCACACTGTAGGACCCTGTGCAAAGAGGGGCCATATAAGAAGTTAATAAGGTTGAGGTGACTAGGTACCTAATTTCGCTATTTGCTTCTGTGAACATAGCTTGCTACTTATGCTGAGCCACCCTGCTCTTGCTGCAACCATGAGGTAAGATATCAGCCGTGAAGAACTGGTAACTGCAAATAACGAATGAAGGAGTTGCAGCTGTCTATAAAAACACAAACTTTTTCCCAAGACGGCACAGATCTCAGGCAAACTGTAAGACGTCCGCCGCCGGCTGGCTACTAAAAGCTTGCTTTTTAACCCACCAGGTTGAGTGTGTGGGTGATTATTGAGATTACGGACTAACATTTTGGGGGCTCGTCCGGGATCTCAGTAATTGCCAGGCCCTCCCTGGTTGGAAGGGCCACTCGACTTCGCCGGGGGAACGCTTCCAGGGGGAGCGCTACCTGATGATGTTCCAGGTCCCCGGATTCCGCCTTCCCTTGGTTGACCGGGCAGCACCTCGCAAGCTTAAGGGAACTCTGAGGTCCAGGGGGAGTGCTACCTGATGACATTCCAGATCCCCGGATCTCGAAAAACCTTGAGGTAAGGTATCATACGATTCAGGAGGTTAAGGGGCGCCCCGATTTCTGGTGTGGTGGACTGTGGGAGGTCCGACGAGACAACAACTCCCCGCCACCGGCACGCGTGGGACGCCACTGGGTAAAAGGTTGGAACAGGTTGGAACGTTCCGCAAGTAGTATCATGGTCATTGTTATTTGTGTCAGTTGTCATGCTAATTGTTATTTGTGTCATTTGTGTTGTGTTCTAAATTGCTTTAATCCAGACGGAATGGGACAATCGAGTTCTGTTCCCGAAGGACCCCTTAATTGTTTTTTGTCAAATTTTCAAAGTTTTAGGAGATGGACTCTCCTAAATTATGGGTTTAATATTAAGGCAGATAAATTGAAAATCTTTTGTAAAAGTGAATGGCCAACTTTTGGA